GCTTTTTGATAGATGCTACAAAAATTTATCAAAACTTAAAAATAAAAGTTATCATCAATTTTAAAAGTCCATAAATAGCTTAAAAATTTGAATATTTCATTTTTTCTCTGTATTTGTTTATAGAAACGACCTTAAGGTATTTATCAATGCATATCACAAGTGGGTAGTAGGGAGATCATGTGGTCTATTTATCTATATATATCATTAGATACTTAATATTAATACTACACCCCATCTCCAAGATGAGCAGTAATTTGTGATTATTCATACATTTTCAACTAGTTATAATAGTTTCGATTAACTTTTCTAATAGGAAAATCTAATGGGTACTTTAGAGGATTAAAAATAAAAATTCCTCTGTAATTTTCTTAATAAATAGAAAATACAAACAAAAAGCGGGAAAGGGGATGTCGCTCTGCTGTACAGTAGGTTACAAGTGGGTTACTGTAATGGTTACTCAATTAAATTTGAATCCAATGATATTATTATATCATTGTATACGAAAAACGATTCTGAGCGAAGACGCTTTATCTGTCTAGGATATATTATAGATTATTAAAAATTTTCAAATCTTAGATTTTTTTATGAATTTCTAGCTTAATATAATTTGCGAATTTTCGTGATTTTTACGTATGTTGTCAAAATTAAAATTTAAATGCTTGTAAAAAAAACATGTGAATATGCATTTCTTTTATTTTTCAACTGCTATTGTAAAAATATGTTAGGAGCCTTGTATTAAATTTTCAAATCTTGGATATTAAAGGAAACATTATTATGAATTTCTAGCGTAAAATAATTTGAACATTGAACATTCTATCAAATAAAGAAAATGCCTATATAAACATTCAGTGAAAATTTCATGTATCTATGGTCATTTCTTTTAAAGTTACATCAAAAACCAAAATTGATTTTGTCAAAAACTGATTGTGCGTAAAATTTCCCGTTTTTCCCTAAATTTTTAGTTTATTTTTCTTGATTATTCAAAAAATTATTTAGAATTTTTTACTTTTGACCCTCCAAAGTACCAACTAGATTCACTTTCTGATCGAACGAGGTACTAATGTCAAAAACCGAAGCACTTTTACTGCCCCAAACGTGATGACAGACACAAAAAAAAAACACACATCATCATGGTTATGAAATCAATACATCCATCGCTCCGCTCAGAATCTAAAGCATTTAAAAACCCGAAATTTAAAAAAAAAAACAGTATTAGAAAAAATGGATTTTCTTACTTGGTTGTAATTTAAAAACGAATATTCATAGATATTAGAAATTGAAATTTTTACAATTRCTTATCATAGMATTTTATATACATGGTTTTAGTTAAAAAAATATTTTGACTCCTTTTGTACAATTTATAGACATGTAAAGTTTTAAATATTTTTAGTTTTTTGTAATAATTTTCTACTCGGTCAAACAACTTCAGAAATGTATTTCGTATGCAATAATTTATCATTGAATTCAAATTTAATACAATATACATTTCAATCACTTACTTAATGATAAGATACGCACTTATCTTACTGTACACAGGCGTACTGAGCAGTTACCTATTTTCATCCTTCTCTTTAAATATTCAGTGTATTTTTCGTGATTTATAGACTATATTTTTACGGAATTTATCTGATTTAAAATGCATTTTTACATGTTTTTAGTGCATTAAATTTTCAGACCTATTAATAACTTTATTTATAAAATATTAACTATAAACTATATAGGTATAATTTATTTTTAATTAGATGTATTGGTATGTGTACATATATATTATATAAATGTATATACATACGCAATAATGTATATTATCTTTTTTTGTATACGACAAAAGAAAACGTGAGCAATAATGTAAAAATAATATTATTTTTAAAATATGTTTACCTTTGGTGTAATAACTCCACATCCAACTTGGAAGATGAATCATCTTCGAACAAAACCTGTAACAAATATGTCGTTGATCTAGTTTTAAATTGGTATTGAATATAATATATTTATTTATTTTATAATAAATGCTTATATTTGCAAAAAATATCAGTTATGGATAAAGTTTGCATAGCCATATAAGTAAGTATAATAAAAGAAAAATTACAATTTCTCTTATGTATTCTTCAGAAAAAAAAGCATTTCTTTAAATTTTAAATATTATAATAGTTGCATTGTTGCATAGAAATATAATGAGTAATAAATAATTTGATTAGGATAAAATAGGTAGGTATGATATAAGATATAACACAGTAAATTATAGAAAATTTTCGATACCTAGAAATAACTATAAAACATTAGGTGTTTATAAAATCAGTGGCGTATTTAGAGGGTTTATAACCCCCCTCCCCTCCTCAAATTAATTTCTACTTATGCCACTGTATATAATAATGGAGTAAAGTAATAAATATAAATAATAATGAACGACACGCTTACCCATCTGGATGTATCGTATTGCTGTCTGGGCAGAGGTTCTCCTGACAAGTCGATTAACTTCGCTTCTCTAACCTCTTGAGCCACGTTATCTGCAAAAATTATCATCGTTATACTTGAATTTACTATATAACTTGTGCCGTGCCTATCTGCCTTTAGAATTATCTTTTATATTATGAGGTATTATTATTATTATTATTAATATTAATATTATTATTATTCAATGAACATCGGACGTGTGTGAAAAGTGAAATTTTGCAGTTAATACACAATGGACGGCAAGACAACGCTTTTGTACGTTGTATTATGTATGCTTTCGCTTTTCCCCTATGTTACTTATATAAAATTACCGCAACATACCTATCCCAAAATTGTGACTTGTATTACATATTATCATATATCATAAATACATACACGATGGGCTACATCCACACTTTTATTGCTTATACACTCTTATTTTTAGAATTTAAAAAAAAATTATTAATTTTTAGCATAAAATAATTTACGAATTTTCGTGATTTTTAAGTACGTTGTCAAAATTCAAACTTTGAATGCTTGTAAGAAAAAATTGTGACCGATTTCTTTTATTTTTCAACTGCTATTGTAAAAATATGGGTGCTAGTTCGGTATGCATTCTACAGGTTTTGCTGTTCTACACGAGGTTGGTCATGCATTATCTGCGTTTTTATACATGATATGTTGGATTTTTTTTTCGACTTTATTCTCTTATCTTTGATTGTCGTTACCTTAAATTATATTACCTACTATTCATTACTATTCATTCTGATGAATGGGCTGTATATAACAATATAGGTGTCTCACAAGCCGTGGTTTTGTACACTAGACGGTAAATCACCAAATGTCATATGTCAATGAAAATACAGGAACCCACACTCAAAACATTTGAGAGGTCATGGTTGGACGCAAAAATTAAATTATTAAAGAAAATGAGGGGTGTTTTTTTAAATCATTTGCAGTCCCATCTTGACCACTATTGCTGGTGACTTTACCGTCAAGACAGGCCGGACCTTTTTCTCGTCATGCTAGATTGCTAGAAGACATCCAAAACATGAATGAAAGCCAATAATAAAATAAAAACGACGTATGTAGAGCGCATACCGAATTAGCACCAAATTATGTTAGAAGCCTTGTATTAAATTTTCAAGCTTTTCTCCCCAGCAAATAAATTTTTATTGATATTTATAGAAAAAAAAAAAATTTAAAAAGTTGAAAAATTAAAATGTCAGTAAACAGCTCAAAACAAATATAAATATTTTGAAAATTGTATCAAATATAGAAAATACCTATATAAACATTCAGTGAAAATTTCAAGTACCTATCTGCGGTCATTTGTTTTAGAGTTACACCAAAATAAGAAAATCGTTGAATGTGAAATCCAGTGAAAATCCAATGTTKTAAAAATTTCAATTTCAAATGCTCATAAAAATTTAATTTGAATTTCCGGTGGA